TTCTGGTAAGCCATGCTCTTCTGCAATGCCAGGGAAGGACTCTAGGGGCTGGGGGCGGGGTGGTGAGGGGGGTGGCTGGGATGCTTACCTGCCCTGTGTTGTAGCTGTTGACGATCACGGCGAGAATAAAAGCTGTCATGGTCCTGTGTTCAGCCTGGAAAACAAAAAGCAGCCTTGGTTTTGTATTTCCCCCGTGGTGGAAACTCATCATTCCCAAAGCACAGCAATGTTATCCTTTCAGAACCTTTATGATGAGCTTGATGCATAATCAGAGTAATGAGAGGAGCTTTATTGTTGAATTTTGATTGGACTCTACAAAAGAAAATAGCCTTTTTACAAAGGTCTGACAGCGCTGGGCTTGCCTCTCTGAGTGAACAGACTATCCCTTGGAAGAATTAATACTGCAGGCCAGGCACAGATCTGGTACCATTTCCCCCCATCATAAGGCTGTCATGTTAATCAAGATGAAGCCCCTGACCACATATCCCCTCATCTTTGCCCAATTCTATTTAAGCATCCTGTTCTCTAGTCAAGCACTTGGTAGTAAAATGAATGAAGATGGTGTTCTGCTTCCCTTCCCCGCCCCCTCTGCCCTTTTATTAGATTGATCAATTTTCATTCTTTCCTTTCCTCCGTGCCTCTGCTGAGTTGGAAATCAGTCTATTTTTACCTTTTTAATGGTGTCTTACATGCTTTACATGCATGTTGAACAGTCTAATTTGTTCTATATTATACTTGGATAATGCAAGACTCAGGATGGTTTAATTCCTACATTTCTCCTCAGGTTTAACTCCTCAAGTTAGTGATTTTTAGTATTATTTATTTTTATAATCAAAGCTTATTTAGAGACGCCAACACATTTGCCAATTTCTTTGTTTTTTGCTTTTTTCTATATCTTACTTTTCCTCTGGGATCAACTTCCTCCTCTCTGACAATCTTCACAGCTATCTTCTGCAGGATTCGGAAAGTGGCAAATGTTGGTCTTTGTCTGAAAACGTACTTACTTCATCCTCATTTCTGAATGTATGTAGACTTCCAGGCCCACAACCATGTTCCCTCAGCACTCTGAAGGATTCCAGCATCTCCTGTTGTCTGTTGTTGCTGATGAAAAGTCCACTGTCTGAGTATTTGTTATTTACCCCTTTTTAAATAATCTTTCAGTTTGTTCTGGTTGCTTTTAAGGTTTTTCTTTATGTCTTTGATATTTGCTGCTTTCATTGTAGTATGTCATTGTGTTCATTTTTTAAAATTTAGCCTTTTCTTGGGATTCATTATGCTTTTTAAGTCTACAAACCAATTTCTTTCTTCAAATCTGGAAAATTCTCGGCCACTATCTGATCAAATACTGCTTCTCCTCTACTTTCTCTATTCTCTCATTCTGGAACTACATTAGCTACATAGTAACCTTTCTCAGCCATGTCTTGAACCTCTTTCATATCTTCTCTCTTCATTCTTTATGTCACAAAATTGCTCCAGGCAAGTTCTTCACTAATTCTCTTAGCTGTGCCTGTTCTGCCATCTAATTCATCTATAGAGTTTTCAATGACAGTGACCTGTCTCTTCATTACACATTCTATTTTTTCCCCCACATCTATTTATTTTAAAAAATCTATCACTTGTTGAGGATGAGTAAGAAGCACAGAATTTAATATTTTCTTATAACGGGGCACAGAAGCATTTCTGAAGAAACACAATGGTTTATTGTTTACCTAATTAAACCAAGTTATTTTTATTCAATCACCCAGGCTGGAGTGCAGTGGCATGCTCATGGCCACCCCAGTATCGACTTGCTGGGCTCTGGTGATCCGTCTGCCTCAGCCTTCCAAGTAGCCAGAACTACAGACGTGCACTACCACACCAAGCTAATTTTTTATTTATTGTAGAGACGAGGTCTTGCCAAGTTGCCTGGGCTGGTCTCGAACCTTTGGGCTCAGGCAATCCACTGGCCTCGGCCTCCTAGAGTGCTGGGATTACAGGCTGAGCCACTGAGCCCGGCCTTCTTTTTCCTTTCTACCCAGACATGGAGGAGTGGTGAGCTTCTTGGAAGTAGGGGGCAGTTCTGCTGGTCCTTGTTCAATGAGGGACAGTGCCTTCTGACAGAGAGGCCTGAGTGGGGCTGTCCTGTCAGCATGGAAACCCTTGGGGTCGCCATAAGGGTCACATTTGCTGCCTGCCAGGGCTCTCCTCTCTCAGTCTTAGGGGTTTAAGGATCAACTTTCATTCTTTCAAACCTGGCTGTGTCCTCAAAACTTCAGTGTGCTGGGTGTTGAGCTGGGGACTGCACGTCAGCCTAGCTTATCACTGTGCTCAAGCCGCCATTTGAGTGCTTGCTCACTTTCTTGTGTTTGATTTGTATTCTTACCCTGAAGAACAGGGAAGTGATGATTTCCAAAAGCCACATAAAGTATAAACTGCAACTGCCTATGATGAAGATCAAATACAACACGTAAAAGTGCACAAGTACTATTTATCTGTTATATAACAGTCCTGTTTATAATGTTTCCTGGGTTTTTTTTCTTTGAGTTGGAGTTTCACTCTCGCCCAGGCTGGAGTGCAGTGGCATGCTCACAGCCAACAGCCAATGCAGCCTGGACCTGCTAAGCTCAGGTGATCCTTCCGCCTCAGTCTTCCAAGTAGCTGGAACCACAGATATATGCCAACCAAGCACATCTATCTATCTATCTATCTATCTTAGAGATGAGATCCAGCCATGCTGCCCTGGCTTGTCTCAAACTCCTGGGCTCAGGTAATCCTCTCGCCTCTTCCTCCTAAAATGCTGGGTTTTTTACATCATTTAGTTTAGAAAACCAACTAGTGGGTGAAATAACATGTAAATGCTCCCTTATACAACCAAAGCCACCTAAGAGCTGATATACTTAATTGAATATTTATTAAGTTATAGTAAATAATTATTTGGGATATATAGTTTGTTCTCATTACTATGTGGGGAGCTAGAGGTAGGAAATAAAAAATTAATTATATATAACATTTATAGAATGTTACTGTATACTCGATTCATGGATTACTAATTTCTAAGCAATTTAATTCAATAAAATATATTTAGGATTTAAAATTTCAACTTCTTCTTTCCTTCTTCCTTTCATCCTTCCCTTCTTTCCTGAAACAGGGCACGTCAATATCTTGTCATGTTCTGAGGCCTTCACAGGCATCTAAACAACCATATTATGAGTAAGTATGGTACTTACTCATTAATTCAGTGGACAGATGCTAGGAAGAGTAGATTTTCCTGTGTTGCAAAGAAGCGCCAGTGAAAACAGACTATTGAAAACCAAACCAACCTGTGTGTCCGGGTTAGCTGTAACTCCTATTTAGAAACAGAAATGAAACAACGGCTGCACTAACATGGTACTAAGCAAAGAGCCCTGTCTAAAGGGAAGCAGTCGCTGAGTGCATGGATGAGGCCCCCGCACGGCCTGGCCTTGTGCCCCCCACCATGACCCTCTTTCCTCACAGCAGCGTAACATGTGAGGAGAGGCAAATGACACATCTCGAGACTGTTGGAGAGACAGCAATGCTCAGTCCTTACTGGCATGTAAGGGTCCGCCAAGACTGAAAGGAAGTATTTGTGGCCGTTGTCCTTCACGAGGTCAGCTTGGCATGACTGGAGAGAAAAAAAGAGACACAAGGAGAGGCCATGAGTGTAGTGAGCTGAGGGAGTTTCTTGTGCTTCTTGTGATGTCTGAACAAATGAATGGGCAATGTATTTTTTTATGCCTTAGTTATTTTTTCCTCTCAAGTCCAATTTTCACTGAAAAATAGCTAGAGTTGTTGCTTGCAGACATACTTTCCTTGGTTAAGAGATCTTACGTATTGGGATCTTATGTACTTTCAGTAGTGAAGCAGCTCCAAGACACTCTGAAAATACTGTCTGGCTATCTGACGGTGGACCACCCTGGCTGCTGGCTCTGGAGGGCGGCGCTTGCCCTGTAGCCCCTGTCCATGTCCTCCCTCCACTTTCATGGGCCCATGCTCCCTCCCTCAGCCTTCCACACTGGAATGCATCCAGCACCCACAACTAGCCCTGTTTCTGTAGACTCGCCCCCTGCTGAAGCTTTTCTTGGGTCTTTGCTTAGACTTACAAAATACTGGAAAAAAAAAATCTGTGCAAATACAGTAATTACCAATTATCCATGTTATACAGTTATGTTGTAGCAGCTGCTTCCTAGAGGTCCTCAGTCCACCGGAGCAGCTCTAAGGTAGGAGGCTTAACTTTAAGTGCTAAAGAAGCTATCAGGTATATAATTCTTTCCAGTTCTTCCCATCATCCTGTACCTGTACACATTTCCATCTATGTAGCCATTGCTCATGACACATTTTTGAGGACCTACTATATGCTGAGCACTAGGACTTTGTGCCCACCCTCAATTCCTAGAGGAACAGTTACCGTACATAGTAACAGTGGCATGGGCTGGCTACCAGAGAGAAACCACAGGGTGTCTGGGGAACTAGGGGAAAGAAGGGAGGGGCTGTGAGCTTTCTGGAGGAGACATCTAAGCTGAGGACCAGGCAGAATTACTCAGGGAAGGAAGAGATGATGGAGGAGAGCAGCACCAGAGGGAAGAGACTCTGTTCTGCTAAGAGATGGCAGGTCCAGTCCTGGCATGTGAGGTGGGAGGAGAAAAGGATGGGGAATGTAGGAGGCAGAGTGCACAGGGCCAGGAGGTATGAAGAGCTGCAGCTGGTGAGGGATAGAGCAAGTGGGCCACAGGTCAGACAGCACATGCTGGCAGCTGCAGCAGGGGCTAAGCAGACAAGCCAGGGGGCCAGCTAGAGGCTGTAAGCAGCAAGGACAGAAGCACAGGGACAATCCCAGAGACATGAGAATCTAAGCAGGATCCCCACTAAGGAGGTGGGACGCCGTTTTCATTGTGCCCGATGGGGGCACACTGTATTCCAGGTATCTAGGAGATATATGACAGAGTAACTCAGAAAGAGGGTACATATGAAGCCTATCAGAGTGGACTTCATGAAGTGATCGGAAGTCATATACATATCAGGTGGCAACTGAAGGCACAAGGGTGAGGGGAGCTCTGAGGCATGGAGGGAAAGACTGAGGCTGGGGATGGAGCCTGAGAGGCAGAGGGGAGACAGTCCCTTAAGAAAGGAGCTGCCAAGTGGTCTCATGGGAGTCCTGGATGAGATGGGCCTGGCTCTGAGGTTGGCTGATTTGGGGGCATTTCTGTAAGTTCTGGTTCTTCAAGGGAAGTAAACGATTATGCCTTAGACATTCAGGGGTTGAGGATATTATCTTGGGATGTTTCAGGCCCACAGGACTGAGGAAAGAAAGGAAAGGGGGCAGAATTTGAAATGAAACCAAGTTTCAAGTCCAGGTTCCCCTCTTGCTAGCTGGGGACCCCAGTAAAGTTTTAAAAATCTGTGCTCAAGTCATAAAACCAAAGATTAAACAACATATGTGACGGCGATTTGAAAATTGTAGTATGACATATAAATTGTGTAGGGTCATAACGGATCAATACCTAGAAAAACTAACAATTTAGGACAGCGCATCTGCAGAGAGTGAGATGGTGCATTCCACCAGCTCCCAGTAAGCTCTGCTCCAGAGGACAAAGGCCATCAGAGAATGGAGGATGGGGATTTTAAGAAGCGAATTTCTGGAATCAGAGAGAAATTATGCACACAGCACAACATGCTCTCAGTTCCCCAGTGGCCCTACTCCCCAACCAGAGCCCCTTTCTCACAAAGGCAGGAGTGGTCTGCTGATGGAATCAATGCAGATGGAGTCACTGCAGCTCAGAAGCCCCCAGTACCCCTGTCCATTTCTCAGAGGTACTCTTATAATTAGGTGTTTTTCCTCACATCAATAAACTGATGAGGAGGGTTCCTGCACACAGCTCTGTTGAAATGGGAATTCAGTGAGATGGAGAGTGGGTGGTCAGGAGGCCATGGGCACAAGCTGCAGGTTACCAACCTGGGTAGGGGAGGCCAGTTAAGCACACGATTTCCAAGTCACACACTGGAGAGGTTCCTTGCTGTGTTTGAAGGTTTTGACAAATAAACTAAAAAGCATTGACTTGATGTCTTCCCTGAAAAGACCTGGCCCAGAGGGCCAGGAGAGAGCATTGCACCTCTTCCCTCAGCAGCAGTGGGAAGCATCTGGCTCTGAGAAAAAAAGCATCTTTGTTTTTAAACCAGAGGTTTGACAAATCAAATCAAAGCCCACACATTTACGGTGGAACTCCTTAAATGTGTCTCATCAAAGAGTAATACGGTGTCACTAATTCATATCTTACTAATTCTGAATGTGAGGCACATCGGTAAGGGTATTTGAAGACATAACTTGAATATGCCATCCATATCAGAGTCTGGTGGTTATTCTGCGATATGAAAAGATCTGTTTTAGCCCGGCTCGGTGGCTCAGCCTGTAATCCCGCGCTTTGGGAGGCTGAGGTGAGTGGATTGCCTGAGCCCGTGGGTTCGAGACCTGCCTGGGCAACATGGCGAGACCTCATCTCTACAGTAAATTAAAAAAAAATCAGCCGGGTGTGGTAGCGCATGCCTGTAATTCCGGCTACTCAGAAGGCTGAGGTGGAAGGATCGCTGGAACGCAGCAGGTGGAGGCTGCAGTGGCCGGAAGCGGCTACTGCACTCCAGTCTGGGCGACAGAGTGAGACTCCAACTCAAAGAAAAAAAAAAAAAAGAAAAGATCTGTTTTGAGAAGGTTGCTATGCAAGGTAGGAACCACCAATGATGATGCCTTTCATATGTCCACCTTCACTTTCAGTCCCACTTTGTCCCCTGCAGGCAGAAACCTGGAGTTCCTGGCTTTGCCACCTTCTAAGAGGCTGGGGCCGTGCTTTCTTGGCTGCCTGCTCACGCACCCAAATTATGAGCTCACTTAGGTCAAGGCCCTCATTAAATGGAAGAGAAAACAAGATTCTAAACTACAAATGCTCAGAAAAGCAACCAGCAGAAGACATACTTTGCAAAGCACAGGCTTGGTGGAAAAGTACCAGCAGAGACTTGGGGGCTCCAACAAAGGCCAGGTGCTGGTAGCTGCGATCCGCAAAGCAGCCGCTTTCCAAGGGCTTCATCTTGCTGTGTTTGTTTTTCCCCCAGATCAAGGTACCACAATGACATATTAAGGCCAGAGTAAAAAAGAAGGTTCAGGAGAGGGAAAGCATGAATATGAAATGTTTTCTTCTAAGCCAGTTCGCTTTCCCCACCATACACTAAAACCAACTTTGATTCTTTCCTATGTCTCAGGATTTCAGGGATTTATATTTTTTAAATGGGGAAAAGAGAGGTAAGACAAAGAAAAGCAAACAAAAATAAAAAAGATGCAAGCATATATTTTGTTGTTGCACAACTGGCTGTGGTTTGCAAACAGATATAACAAAGGAGCAGAGACCAGGAGGAAGCCTAGCCAAGGCCCTGGCATCTAAGGGCAAATCTGTAAGGCCAGGGCAGGTTTTCTTCCTCTGAATATTCTGGCAGAAGATGCCTTGGGGAGAGACCCTCCCTTCATTCTCCTTAAAACACATTATAAAATTTATTTTATGACGAAAAAGGAATACACGAACTGAACCCAGACCAACAGATCCCAGTGCCTGGTAGATGAGGTTTAACTAAGCAGGACGCTGATGCAAGCTCTGAGAAATGGCACATGAACACATGGTTGCATGGCTTTTATGTGAACATGGAGAAAATAATGGAGATGCAGGACCACGTTTCCTGTCCATTGGGTAAAAGAGTTTATTCTTTGTTAGGAGCAGCAGTGCTAGAAAGGGAAGAAAGTCTCCAAAAGGATAAAACAGCTCTAGAGTGAGCCTTTGGTGGACTATTAACATAGCATTAGGCTGGTACCAGGGAATCCGGTTGAAGACAGGTATAGGACTGTGTTGAGATGTTTATATGCCCAGAGTTTTAACAACGGCAGGTGGCCATTAAACTAGTAGTGCCTGAGAAAATAATACCAAAGCAGGGATTTCTGTTTACTGGTCACAAGAGTTCACTGTTGTTTATGAATTCAGCAGAACATTCATCGGGCAGATAAAGACACAATGGTCTCCTCGTGCCTTGAACCCTGGGCACGACTTGTTTCCCACTTGTCAAGTGAGGCGAGTCATCAAAATATACACGTTTTCTCATTCCCAAAATGGTTAATTACCCTAACTATTACAAAGATCTTTAGTCAGTCTCATATCAGGTGTTCCTGAGTCTACAGTGAGCCTGAATGTTGTAACCATATCGGTATGAAAATCACCAGCATGCAGGAATGCCTTTGTGCTCTCAGTTGACTTTTCTGGATATGTCTTAAAATTTGTAGATATTCAAGGATCAAAAATAAAGTACTCTAGAAAGGTATAGACTGAGATGTTCCCTGCCACTACATCAATCATTATTCCACTCTCCTGTCCCTGCCCAGGGAACCTCAGCTCTGCTTGGAGCTGACTTCGGTCTAGGCTCAGGAACAGCCTCCACCCAGAAGTCACCTTCTGGCTACACTAGAACTCATCTGAGTTTCCTAGAACTCATTGAATTGTTTGTGTTATTTTTGTAGTACAGATCTAATGCTGCCTCAGCCAGGCTCTGAAACTGGCCCTGTGGGCCACACTGAATCATGTTAAACAAGGTCCTCCA